TTCATAATATTCTCGAGGCAAAGTAACTACATAATCCTGTGAATAAATTTATGATAATATATAAGTACTTGATAAACGAAACAACCCTTAATGTGTTTTTGAGGGCTAATAAAATGCCCCACCCTGAGGACAGGAAAAGATGAAAATCACAAGCTCATAACGTATGCTTGAGGTTGACTGAGACGTTTGACATGTCGTAACCTGCTTTTCAATAAAGCCAACATATTGCCAGTGATAAGTATACACCATTGAATGCAGCATTACAGTCATTAAATATTAATAAAAATGCACAATAATGTCCATAATATTTTGATTATTTTAACTTATATATAGACTAGAATCAGAATCAGTGGATAAACATCAGAAGCTTTGCTCACCAAAAGAACACTCGCAGGAGGCAGCACCAACACCAGATCCCACTGTCCTTTTGTCAACATAAACTGTGTTGGACTGTCAGCTACTCCAACAGTCTGACGTGCTGGTCCAGCAGGGGTGACTGGAAATGTGACTTTACTGCTTTGCTTGCTTCCTACCCCTCCCTTTGGAGTAAACATAACCTCGCCTGTCACTGGAGAACTCTCATTCAGTATGTAGTGGAATACAGTGTGGTAACGGCCTGTCTTGGGAATGTCCACTGTTACCTTCAGCACTCTCTGTAAGTAACATGACAGATGTCATCAGTATGCTTAAAATGAGAAGAACAGAGCCTCGCCGACAAACAATCTAACCCTTATATATATTAAGTTCAACTTTTTTCCTGACAATATGATCCATACATTATAGAGAGATAAGGTTATGAGAATTAATAAAACGATCACTAAAGGGAAAATGCTTTGATCTTCTGTCAACTTCTCTCAACTAATTATTTAAGGATGTCTATGAAGATCAGTCTAGTGGAGCATCTCAGAGGCATTTTGAGCAAAACATGATGAAAAATAAACCATATGACAAATGATCATTTCAGGAAGACAGGAATCAATCATCTAAAACAAATTTACAACACATTTAAGTGACAACATTTTCAAGTTTACCTACATGACAACCATTTCAATATTGTTTTACTAACTGATCTTTGGCTTTCCCTGGATCTCTAAAGTTGTGTTTTAGCTGAAGTCTAAAATACCTAGAGCCCCTTTAAGTAAGAGTGGACAGTATTATAAGCAGAAATTGTCAACCGAGCCCTTCATACACTGTACCTGGATATCAGACATGGAAGCATAACCACGCCATGAATAACCAGGGAATACACTCTCATCAAAGCCAAATCTGACAGGCTGTCCATCACTGTTCATCATAATGTCAGGTGACAACACATCTGAACCTTGTTTGCTTGGAACTGTAGTTCCATCCTCCATCTCTGATTTGATTTGAAGTAAAGTTGGATAATAGTGCTGAGGGGCAGGGCTACAACAGGTACAAACAGACTGACTGTAAGAAACTATACACAGTTAACTAAAAAAGAGGGAGACAATGGGAAAAAGGTATAAGGCAAACAGTTGTTGTAAGCTAGAGGTGATAGCCCCGAGCATGTTAAATTTTTATTCATTGTTATTTACTGGACATTCATTTTGTGCATTTCACCCACCGATCATGGTCAGAATTCTTTGTTCTTAGGGTGACAGAAGTTACAGTGAAAGCTAGCTCTTGCAGGCGGACACCCTTGGGACACAAAAAAGGTGTCCGTAACTGGGGCTGGCCGCTTACGAGAATGTAAAAATACAGAGTTTGTATGGGAGTTAGGAGAAATAGCATTTTGTGAAGGTGGCCGTAAGAAGAGCTTTCTGCTTACGAGAGTGTTGGTTAGGAGAGCTTCCACTATATGTTGTTGCTTTTCAATATAGTCTAAGAAACTCAGCTCTGTAAATAGGATTACAGCAGTAAGCCTTATACATGTACTTTGAAACTGAAACAACTCACACAAACGATTACTGCCTTCATTTATTTGCTCTCACTAAGAACTAAACAGAGACAGTCAATATCAAGCATTTTCTTAAGGAAATCATACAAAGTTGAAATTCAACATGTAGATACTCAGTACAGACCTGCTGCAGTCTCTTCCAACAACATTAGGGCGACATGAGCACTGTCCCGAATTGGAATCACAATACTGATCATAGGCTCCACCCACATCACAGCCACACCCTAAGCATAACATCAGTAGTACAAGGGTAAGTAATAGTCATCTGTGCCCTGGCCTGACATAAATTCAAGGGTCTATTCACATAAGGGCGGGGGACGGGGGTGCGTTTTCGGCAGTGGAGAGAGGTGCGGCCAAGTGGTGCATATAGTACGTCTATGTAAAAGAAACAAGACCATACTCCCACTGTGTGAGCTACTGATTTCATGTGCGATAACATTCTCCTCAAAAAGTTAACTCTTACTTTGCATGACACAATTAACATTGAGTAGGTAACAATTCTCTATACCTGTGCATCCAAATATTTTTCTCCCTGCCAGACCATAAAATCCCACTTTACACCTGGTACATCGTCTGCCAGTCACATACAGTTTGCATGGACACTGCCCTGTGGTCTTGTCGCACGTTCTTAGCCCACCTATCACACCATCTAAGTTGCAATCACAGTTTTTGCATCCCATTGGGTTACTGCTCTGCAGAGCATAGTAGCCATCTTTGCACTCAGAGCAGATCAAACCCTGTACATTGTCCTTGCAGTTACACTGACCCTAATGATAATTATAAGCATCATTAAGTAAGTACATGTAACTTGAATAACCACGGTAGCCCTTTAATCCATAGTTATAATGGTTAACCCTCTATCTCTCGAGCAACCACACTTGATGAGGTTTCATTAACCAGAAGACAGGTCGGTGGTATCACCAATACTCCTCCTTAACCCTAACATAATCATTCTTTTGCTCCCGATGAAGTGGGCACATCTCTAAGACAGAAACTAGCCCTTATTAATTAATCCCTAGGGTGACTAACATCAATTTTCTTCTAACGATATCAGTAGCTACAAAAATTATAATAAAAGTTGTAACGGAAATAATGGTGATGAGAATTAATAATCAAAGAAAGACTATCGTCAACTCGTGGGTACGTTGTTTAGAAAATAATCAATTAGTTATCACCTCTGGTTTTCCCACAGTGAATTTTAGGAAATGACAGAAATTCATATTATAAATATACTATCCTTGTTCTGGAAACACAATACTTGTCTTGCTGTTTATTGCACTTAGTAACAGTTATTTAAGTATATATTTAAAAACAAAGCCAAAAAAAACAGCAAAACAAATAAGCAAACAAGACAAAACAAAAAAGAAAAAAAAAAGGAAGAAGGGAAAAAAAAGGTCTTAGCAGGATTTGAACGCGGTACCTTCGGTTAGACCCGACCTCACATAGCCACTACGCCATTGAGGATGGTCGAATGCGAAAAGTCTCTAATTTAATGCCTTTTCCATGGAACTTCCGCCGGCAAACGACCGGGGCAAACGATCGAGCCATAAAAACGACTCGAAGCAGTGGGATGAAATTAAGGCTAATTGAAACCAGGCTACTGACAGTAAAAAACAATGTAAACGCATTTCATGGCAATGAAAGAACATATGCGATACAAAGCCGACACAACTCCTCCGCGAAGTAGGACGCAAAACATTAGCTTATGTTTCCTTATCTCGATTTCCGCTGTTATTTTAAAAAGGTAATGCTCAAACTCACATCCATTTCCCCCCGTGATCTTGGGGAGTCCTTATGAAGAAGAAGAAGAAGAAGTGCCTTTATTTACCATACATTTCACCAGTCCGTATTTTATAGTTCGTATTTTATACCCAGTCCGTAGTCCCCTGTCCGTGTTTTATACTGACTGCCATAAATTCATTCATACACATAACCTACTACAGTACTACAAGGTAGGAGATCAAGCCAGCGTCGAAGTTGAAGGAGTCGAAGAGCAAATGCTTATCTTCTTGTCAAGTTTAACGCCTGGACGGGTCAAAGGCTTTTGAATCGTACTAATTTGAAAGATTCCTGCCTGTCTTAAATTTGGTAAGACCTCTATCCTAACCGTGCTGTAGTGCACGATGCACGCTCGCAGCGGGGAATTTGATGCTACCGAACTTTGGCGAGCGCGTGCTTCTTTGGAAACGATAGATCTTCGCGCTCTCGAGTTCGCACCCGATTAATTACGAAGTGCGTCTACTATGAGTGAGTGAGTGACTCATTTGCATATCTCAGTCCCTGCAATAACTCGTGGTACGCTCGCGCGTACCCACGAGTTAAAAAATTAATTATAAAATGAACAGCATCTAGTCAGAATGCTTTGGTCATGTATCAAATTTCCTCAACTCATTCTTTAATATTTTTACTTTGTTGTATGGAGATCAGTCTAGAGAATTAAAAATTTTAAACATAAATGTGGCTATTGGGGCCTTAAGTCTTAAAGATGTGCCCAATGCTTTTGTCTTAGAGAGAGTTGATTTCAAGCAAAGAGCAATGATACAAGAATTTAAGTGTAGCTGCAAATCTTTTTTTTTTTAATTTTTGTTGCTGAATGAAAATTAAAGAAGTGATCAAAAAATATATCCCATTTCAGAGAATATTAAGATGAGGCAATGATATAAACTCACCGTATTAGAAGAGGAGCAATCACCCAGTGGACGACCCGGGAGGGGTTTAATTCCTGCGGGGTTGCACTCGCAAGCCCGACAATTAGGAAAGCCATAATACCCACTGCGGCAGAGATTACAGTTTTGGCCTCGGAAGCTTCCTTTGCAAAGACACTGGCCTGTCCTAGGATCACAGAACTGATGCTGGGATCCAAAAGGATCACATGAACAGTTCACACATTGGGGATAGCTGTAGTAGCCTGCTCGACATCTGTCGCACCTCACACCCTCATAGTTGACTCGGCATTTGCATACACCAAACCGGGAACAATTACGAGACACAGACCCTTGCTCAGAGCAGCCACAATCTGATGATTAAAAACCAGAACAGGATACCTGACATTACATAATACAACTAAACATTTTTTTTCAGGCAATTCAAAAAGAAGATCTCAAGATTTTAACAGTTTAACTATGCAGACCACTGACGACCTTAAACCTTTTAAGTCCTATACAGGTATGTGTCATTCGCATCAAATTCCTCCTTGTAATATCAAATTGCTTTAACAAGGTTGGTGTGAATAATTAAGGACAGGATCACAAAAGCTGAATCTAATTTATTCTTCAATTGGAAATTCTCCTCACTAGCTAGTTCTGTAGAAAATGTTTAAGTGCACAAATTAATGTGAATCTGATTCTTTACATTGGGTTTAAAGAGTTAAAACCTTGTTGGCTTTACACTTACCAACACAGCTAGGAAATCTATGATATCCTTCATTGCAAACATCACAGCGCGGACCTGCGAAATTCTTCATGCAGATGCATTCACCAGTGTTTGGATCACAGATATCTCTAGCTGTACCTTCAGCATCACAGTTACAAACTGAACAACAAAAGTAACACATAAAAAAGATCAGAGAAGGTTGTTGTGCATCCACAGTTACTAGACTAAGAGGAGAATGCTTATGAAAGCTGGCAAAAATCAAAGATGAAGAGAATGGTGTTGCAGGTTATGTTAGGAGCTCCCTGGCTCCCTGTCAGTGAATTAGTTCTAAATGATAAGAATGCTATTCACGGCTGTACACAGTGAGTCCAAAAAAGCAAATAATAACTACTGATCATAATGTAATTTGTCAGACCTCATAACCATTGCACTTAACAACCACAATGCTAAATGGAGGTATGGTGCTTGGAGTATCCAGGGACCTCCACCTTTTGGCAATCCATCCCTAGGGTTGTCGGAAAGTTTTGAAGTAGACGGCTGAGTTGTCAAAGTAAGTGGCCAGTCCAGGGATATTTTATCTAAATGCGATCCATAAAAAAATGCCAAGAAAATGCCAAGCAGAGTAGCCGGCTGATACTAAACAATTAGGCCGCAATTTTTAGCCAACAGCCGGCTACTTTTGACAATCCTGCATCCCTTAGATTGAATAACACACCCAAGGCTGGCACAACAACACAGCCATGATCCCCACAAAAACAAAAAAACAGGCACATGTTACAATATCAGTGGAAAGAAAACAAATGAGGGGAGGAGAGGGATAAGTGGCTGAAAGAAACTGTGTGGATCTCAACAAATCAATGCATGAAGTAAACTAGACATACCACAAAATTATGTGAACAGTGTTGTAAACTAACTACTGGGCATACAGGCCACTCACAGGCCACTAGCACTGAGGGTGCTCTTTGCTGTTAACCACTGTTAGCATTCTTAAATGATGCATGTTATAAACTAAGGGGTGTCTAAAAGAATTAAACTGTGGAGCTGTGTTGGAGCAATTCAAGTTAGCATTCGCTCTGACAAAGGACAAGAACTTGAAATGTGAAAATTCACATGCAAGCAAGTACATGTACCTACCGTTACATTCAGGAAAGCTGTAAAATCCCTTACTACACTGAGTGCATTGTCGGGAAGTGTACATTTGACGACAGTTGCACTGGCCAGTAGTCGCATCACAGGTGTCTGGTGATATTGATCCAACCCTATCACAGTTACACCCTACAACAATGCAGAAGTCATTGACATTATACAATAGTAAACATAGTACAGTAATAAGCAATAAGACGGGTACACTCAGCTGAGTTGCATACACCAGCTTTCAAGAAGAGAAAAAAAGCATTGGGGGAGGGGGCAGATGGCAGAACCAAAAAAGTTCCTTTATTTTTCTACCTCTTATAACCACAGAAACGTTGAGACTGCTGCTATAGAAGATTCATAATCAGGATTGGCGCATTTTACCAATTTGTGAAAGCCTGTAAACCTAACTCAAACCTGATCGCTACAAGGGCACTGTAGATGCAAAGACCTTTCAGAGCCTCCAAACCAATCATTTTTTTGGAAAAAATCACCTCCATTTTAATGGAATGTCACTGCCAAAGACATACAGAAAAATATTATTTTCACTGTACTCTTTCTAACAGATAACTGTAGGTTAAATTTTATTGACTTGAAGTGCCCATCACCTAAAATTTTTTATTTTCTTATCGGAAACTAAACCTTATTAACATAACTTCTGCGAAAAAATTTTGCGGTTTGAACAAAACGCGATTTTTTTAACAATTTTTGAAGTCTACATTTTTGCGGTACACCCGCGACGCTGGTCACGCAAACTAGCAGGCTCACATATGACATCACGTGACGTAAATTAAGGAACTCGCCTTCATCAGCTGTACGCAAGAAAGATCAATTAGAAGTAAGGATTGAATCACAATGTCTTCGCAAGAAGAAAGTTTTTCTGAAACAGAAAAACCTACCAGAACTCTTAATGTTTTCCTGTTGATAAAGTCACGTGTTCCTTAAAGTACGTCATACAACGTCATACTCCGAGAGAAGACTGAGACGAATGGTGTGCCAAAATGGCGGCAAATTTGAACGCTTTTAAAAAATTCTAAAAAAATTGTCTTTGGTTCAAATCGCAAAATTTTTTCACAGAAGTTATTTTAATAAAGTGTAGTTTCAGATAAGAAAATATAAAATTTTAGGTTATGGGCACTTTAAAGGCCCATGTTCACCCAAATGGCTTTGCGTGCTTGTGTTTTTGTTTTGAAACGATTCTTTTGTCAAATGCAGTGTTTTGATTGGCTTCCACTTTGAGGAGCGTTGCGTGACGATACTAAAAACGACTGCGAGGGAGACTACAATTGCAGCTTTTTTCACGCTTGACCGAAGCTTAGAGAGACAGTATCAAAGAGGCCAGTAAGACTTTTGATTCTTTCCCAAATGGAGGAAGATATATCGCCGAATTCGTTAAATGTCACCGCAGAAAGCAGTTCAAAATTTAAACTGGTAGTGAATTCATATGGATGCTTTGTTGAGTCCGATGAACACAATGAAGGTCATAAATTACGAAACGTCTAAGCACCAGGTGAGGTTTTCCTGAAGCCCGATTCGACTGGGAAATGTTTTGATTCCTCAATCTATTATTTTGTGTTAATTCTTAGGAAGCTTAGGTATGTGTTCTCGAAAGAATAAGCGAGAAGTTGTGTTTGCAAAGCGTCGAATCGGCACTGCGTACAGTCTTGTCGCTGTAATCGCTGTATTACACTTTCTTTAGGTTTTGCTAAGGATTGGTTTGCTATTAAATAAGAGTTCTCGCTACTTTAGAGCCGGCTTTAATGGTGATACGCCAGACGATAAGTTTACGTTAAGGATATCACTCGCTTCATAGGTTAAATTTAATAAAGCATTGTTCATGTTAGATTGACTCGCTTGTTTTGCTTTCAACTGATTTCAACGGGACCTTTGTTTACAATTGAACGTTCAATGTAGAAGGAACTCGGCAAATACGCTGTCTGTAGAATTTACAGCCAAGAGTTTCTTTCCCATCTCTCCAGGGATTAAAAAAACGGATTCACGGAGACGAATGTACTTCGGCGACCTCCGTCGACGCAGTCTTCCAACCATGCTTCCAACCATTTGTTTCGATGAAGCCGCCATCGAAAGTGCTGCAGTGAAACAAACACTCGATACCATTCCAAAATATCCAAAAAGATGTAAAGAAAAATACCAAAAGAACTTGTTGAGACTTTCTTTTAAACCAGATTTAGCGAACTGTAGAAGATTAACAAAGATTGACTTTACACACTAAAGACAGCGATTTTCAACTACGCGAAATGTTTTTTCTGGAGTACAGGGCGCGCAATGCATCTAGGGTGAACATGGGCCTTTAATCTCTGTTATGCGGTCCATAGCAGTGAACAAAGATTGCATGTCCAGGTAATAACTCACTTCTGCAGTTAGGGAATCCATAATATCCTGTGTCACACTGATCACACTTAGCACCTGTATAACCAGGTTTACATGGACACTGTTCTCCAGTTGGTCCACAGACACGTCCACTTGTACCAAGGGGATGACAGTCGCATGCTGCAAAAAATTATAACAGCCACAATGAAGTCAACTCTCTTTCTAGATGGACACCTTTGGGACTGATACTAAGTGTCCATCTAAAGGGACATCTGTCTTATGGAGAGTTAAATATAAGGCATGGACCAACTTCACGCACAAAATAAACTAACAAAAAACTCACTAAATTCTGAGTACACGTGTCAGGCGTACTAAAAAAAAATAAGAAAGAGGTGCATAGAACGTGCAGCATATAGTTAAAAAGGTGTCTACTAAAAGAGAGTTGACCATATACACATTGAGAAAGAAAACTTTGTCTTCCACTTCACGACCATGATAATCCAGAGTGCTCTTTCGTTTAAATGCTGTCCTATGCACATATATAATTATTTACTTCTTTTGAAAAGAACAAAATGCAAATTTCCTTTAGAAGATCACCTTGCCTGCACTGGGAACACAAAACGTACATAGGCTGTAAGAGGTCTGCTGAAGTGCTGTACTGGTCAAAGCGAAATGATTTTTTGCAATTTTGCCTGGATTGTTTGACTGAATCGTACTCACATGCTTACTAAAGGGTGAGTAATTGGCAACTGAGGTGTGAACACAAGAGGATTTGTGGCCGTGCTCACTTTGTAGTATTTCCTGTCCTGCATGTTGTCTTTTGTTCTTTAAAGAGAAAAATTGCTTTTGGATGCTGCTCACTTACTATAAATACTAGGGTATCTAAAAGATAGTAATGCTGCGGCACATTCTGTTGATACTGGCATTAGTTAGGCAGTGGGACTTGAAAGAATCGAAAATGACATTGAATGTCCTATTTACATGTTGGAAAGTACTAGAATAATTACTATCAGTCTATAGAAAGAACTCGTGGGAACGTTGTTTAGAAAATGATCAAGTGGTTATCAACTCTGGTTTTCCCACAGTAAATTGTCGGAAATGATAGAAATTCAGATTGTTTATCCATATATTTAATATATGGTGTACTATGATTTCTCTGGAAACACGATACTTTTCTTGCTGTTTATTGCACTTTATTAAGTAACAGTTATTTAGCTATATATTTATGGAAAACAACAACACAAAAAACGGAAAAAAAAAAAAAAAAGAAAGAAGGAAAAAAAAAGTTCGGTAGGATTCGAACCCAGCACCATCGGCTCGACGTGACTACACCTAACCACTACACCACAGAGACTGATTGAGTAATTTTGGGAAAAGTCTTTAATTTAATGCTTTTTGCATGAAACTTCCGCCGGCAAGATGATCGCCAGCCGCATTAATCGAGCTATTAACGGTAAAAAACAATGTAAACGCATATTCCATGGCAATGAATGAATGAAAGAACATAATTATGCTTTTCAAAACGCCGATACACGTCCTCGTCTGCAACGTAGGACACAAAACATGTTTTGTTATCTCGATTTCCGCTGTTATTTTGAAGCGAATGGTCAAAATCACATCCATTTTCGGCTCCTACAGGTTCTTAAGAATAGCATGGCGTGACATTTTCTCACTTTCACTTCTAACAAGCTGGAATTTGTGTATCCCCCGTGTTGCGGAGTCAAAGAGCAAATACTCATCTTCTGGTCAGGTTTAACACCTGGACGAGTCAAAGGCTCTTGAACTGAAATCCAATCCCCAAGTTAACCATTGTACTCATCTGAAAGACTCCTGCGTGTCTTAAATTTGGTAAGACCTCTAACCGCGCTGTAGAAAATTTGCTACAAAGAAAACTCTGAGTCTGGGCAGCGAACGATGCGAACTTCCCCGTGTTATTATTTGACTTGTTCGTGGCGCAATGCACTCTGGTTAAATGCAATGCATTGTGGTAAAAAGTGTGGTTTAATGCAATGCATTGTGGTAAAAAGTGATGAATTCGAGAATTCGTTGCCCCTATCTATATATTTCCTTTAAATCCTGATTATGTTGCTGCTCGCTCCCTGCGGTCGCTCCGCAGCAATAATTATAATTCTCTTCAAAGCAAGGATCTCCTGTCAACTTACGTTTGCAGTTGGGGAAGCCATAATATCCCTCATTACACTGGTTACACTGTGATCCTCTATAGTTCTCTAAGCACTCACAGTTGCCTTCACCATCAAAGCAGCGGCCAGTGGAAAATCTTAAGTCACAAACACAAGCTGCGGAGCCAGGTACAATGCACAAAATCATACATGTTGTTACCATAATATTATTAACATTAACAGGGTTGTCATTAAGAGCCGGGGGCCGGGGATTTTCCCCGGCTACTAAGAGAGTGGCCCCCGGCTACTTTTATTGGAAAATAGAAGAAAAATAGAACCAAAAGAAATCCCTAGCTGTTTGATTTCCCCGCCTACTTGTTGTGTTTACCCGGCAACTTGAAATCTTAGTGACAACCCTGATTAATAAATGCATTACGGACGAGCCATCAGCTCTTGGGGATGATGCATAAAGTACAAGTGGTCAAATCTAAAGGTCACAATTGGGGCCATGAGACAAGGGAAATTGAGAATCAACCTGGGTTAAAAAAAATTTTAACCTGAATTTAATTTTGACCTGTAACATATATGTTGTAGTTAATTTTTCATTTCGGGTAATTTTTATTTTTTCCTTTGTTTAAACTTCATTAGCATACATTACCATACCCAAAAACAAAAGGAAAACAAAAATTACCTGAGATAAAAATTAACTACAACATATATATTAAAATATATCTCTAACTCTTCTTTTAATGGGCTATTATTATAGAACGATACATAGGATAAGATTATGTCATATCCTTAGAGGACTTTGTGAATCTGGCCCCAGGTGAGGTTTTTAATTTTACATTTGCTAATTTCTCGCCTGTGTATAGATTACTGGTGCACTTTCTCCAACATTTGCCAGCTGAAAAAATAATGTCATAAAGCTCAACCTGAAATAGCTTGTACCTTGACAGACATCAGGTGACGTCTTGGGCACCCCAGTAGGACGATAATAGCCTGGTTTACACCTCTCACAGTTATTTCCATATGTATTGTGTTGACAATTGCGACAAACTCCACCTCCCTCCAAGTTTCCATTGATATCCAAACTGCCTTTTTGCTGGGCAACCTGTTCACTATAATAACATTCTGTTGCATGGTTGTGGCAGTTGCAGGCTGAAAACATCAAAAAGAAAACTTGGAGTTAGTATGTATCACAGTCTGAACATTGTACTTGCATTAAGCAGGCAAGATGAAGCAAATCCTGTGTTCTGATTAGCTACCTGAGCTGGCAAGATCTTGCCCACTCCAGACTTCCCACTTGGTCCCACAAGAAAAAAGTTCCCTTTTTCGCCATGTGAATAATTCCTTTATTGACCAAGCTTGTTGGGTAGAAGATAGCTGGATATTGGTCTCATTACATGAAACATTTTGACATGCTGTGCATACATGTATTTATTTGATTTTATAGATGTACATGTACAACAATAATATTAAAGTAGTGACTGGAATAAAGCTCCAAGTGGCTTCTCAGATGATCTCCTAGTTCTATTTCAAATTTGTGCTTCATCAGCTTGTGAATCAAAGGGAGAATTTGACTTAGATGAGAAGTCACTGGAGGCCTTTATTCCACACACAAACCTTCAATTTTCACTCCCTGGCTTATTAATACTCACGTTCACACTCATTGTCATTATCCGGTGTAGCTGGTCGCCAAGGTTTCTGTACAAAGCCTGGACAGCATGTTTCACATTTGATGCCACATGTTGCATGTTTACACTTGCACACTAACTGTGTGATATCTTGCCGACCTGATTGAACACATTCATCAGCATGACCATTACACATGCATATTCCTCCTACTGAAATATCTTTGATGGAGTAGAAATACTGCAAAAAACAAGCAGAAGATCAACAGCATTATTATGCAGACAGTGTAATACATCATATGTTGTTCCTTCACATCTGATGGTCGTAACTAAGTTTCAGACCTATTTTCCCCCAATTACCAGTTTAATAGTAGAGTCATAAAGAAACCTGTAAGACTGGGCCTATGAATAATTTTGGATCATCACACGTTTCTGGGAAACTGCCCACCTACCCCTCCCCTAAGCCAACATTTTGCCCTAAGTGAGAAGTAAGTGTTATTGTTGGCCTAGGTGAGGGGTAGGTGGGCAGTTTCCCAGAGACATATAATTCCCTACCCTACTCTAGCACATAAATGTTGTAGTTAATTTTTTATTTCAGGTAGTTTTCATTTTTCCATTGTCTTTGGCTATGGTAATGTGTGCTAATGAATTTGAAACAAAGGAAAAATAAAAATTAACTAAAATAAAAAATTAACGGCAACATATATTTTAGTGCAACGAGGTTCTGTTGTTCCCAGGCAGTTGGTCTAAGACTGAAAGTTGTACATTAGCATTCCCGGGCTGTACATCCAGTTGTAAATTGAAGTATAAGAGCCTTGCCAAGTGGATTAAAGTTGTGTCAAAGCCTGTCCTTCGTCACTTTCTTATTAATAACAAATCCTATCACATAATTAAATTCCATCACTATATTACTCAACAGTGCAAGAGGTATCCTTACCAAAATCATCACTTTTGTTTGATTTAATATTGCCTTGTTCTCACTTAGTGAGCATAGCTACAGCTACACCTGTAATTAATGTCTATGAGGCCTGACAAACTCGAGTCTCTTTCCTAAAGGCAAAAGGCAGCTGACCCAATACGCCAATGTTGGGTTGATTTCCTTGGACCCCCAAGCTGAAACCACTTCTGTCTAAGACCGATGCAATTACAACAAACAGGCTGATCACACTGAAGTCGGAGATCACTTACTTAGTCCAACTAGATCAAAGTGCTGTGTCGACTGGCTCAGAGTTGACTACGTTTCTCTCTTAATCGGATGATGAACAACAAAGTTTCTCTTATATGTCAAAAATATGCTAGGTGAGCAACATACCAGGGATTTGTAAATCTTGGATGAACCTCCAGGGTTTGCAAATATGCCAGATTAATTGGTGTATTTTACACCAAAATGTTTAAGATGACTCCATGGAGGTCACAGAGGCAGTCACTTTGACTCCAGAAATTTTTGATTTTTTCCTTACCTTCTTCAAAACAAGTACAATCTACATTAACCCCTTACCTACCAGGGTCAAATAAACCCAGCAACAAGCAACCTTTCTCAACAACCGGAGTTCATTTGTTCAAGGCAACTCAAATGACCAGACTTTTGGTGATTTTATTTGTCTGAGGATGTCAGCCCTAATATCCCCATGACAGATAAAGGTCATTCTGTAATAGAGGGTTTCATTGCAGAATTAACAGGGGTAGTTATAGTCTTCTCACCCGTCTGGTTACAGTAGGATCTTCGCGAGCCAGTGGTAGCAGATCTGCCAACAGAGTCTTTACTTTTAACAATCTCAGTCTTATGTGTGTAGCACGTGTCCAGTCCTATGATCAAACATACTTGCATTTTAGTCACATTAAATAAACAAAAAGACATACATAATATACTAGAACAGCTTGTCTCTGTAAAGATTCAGCTTTTTCCTGTGTCTATGCATTCAATAAATAATGATACTGTTTCATTACAGCAGAATGAGAAAACTGTGTCACAGTACAATTTAACAAAATTCAGCCATTAAGAAATCACACCAAAACTGAGTGAAATGTACAATAACCACTTAAAACAGTGAAGGGACATTTAACTGAGCTCTTTAGGATATACCAGAGGTGACTATGATTACATTTCACACAGTCAATAATCTTCTGTTAGAAATGAAGAAAGTCCGATGAGAGCTATGTCATTAAAATTCATCTCGGTTGCCAGGAATCCTGATTTTCCCAAATATTCTTTAACCCAGTCATCCCAAGGCCAGATTAAGCAAAACGTAACTGTATGAAGTTTGACGCAACCTTTTTTTGCAAGTATTTGACGTTATAAGCAAAACTCAAGGATTACGGCGTCTTTGTGAGTGCTACTCATGTATCTCTCATTTCAGTCCTGGTGACGTACATGTGTATGCATCAAGGCTCACCTGCAGAGCTTTACTGTAAGAAAAGTTGGCAGCACCAGGTCTTCCATTTACCAAGGAAATGTGAATCTGAAATAAATACAGTAATAATTATTAGTTATTCTTGTTACAGTGCACAAACAACAACAGTGCGATATGGATTACTTTGTAAATGGTTCAAACCCTTAAACCATTGGTCATGTCAAATGTAAATATAAGTTGGATAATGATCATCAGAGTGAGCACTGTGTAGGGCCATGAGTGACAATGACTTGTCAACCTGTATTTATAAGGGTTTCTTGACTTTAATTTGTTAACCCTCTTATTCCTATTAGTGGCCAAAGTAAAAGTACCCACAAACAATTCAAATTTCTTTTGGTAAAATCCTAAGAAATAAATACAGGGTTCATACAGATTTTTGGATCCAAAATTCAAGACTTTTTCAAGACTTTTTCCAAAAAAAGACTCAAGGTTGTTAAGAACTCTATTGATCACCTATTTTATAATGCAGGAACAAAGCTTTTTTCATGGTGTGCTGCAAACATATGGACGAGATTGAATAAGATTTGACAAAAGTGAAAAAAATTCACTTATAAAGCATTTGTTGTAGCTTTGAAAAAAAAAACTCAATTTTCGTAGAGTTCATCTCTATTTTCCAGACTTTTTCCAGGTCTAGAAAATTGCTGGACAAATTTCAAGACTTTTTCAAGAATTCAAGACTCTGTATGAACCCCGCAAAAGAGGTTTCATTTAAATGGTAACACAAAAGGGTTCTGTCCATAGATTCAAAAATTATCTGTAGATTGACAAATAATCTTGCCAATATATAATGTAGACTAGGATTGAGTGATTTTAAGGCATGATGACCTCAGCTTGTCAAAACATCTGTCACTGTAAGCAACAGTCCTGTTCTCAACAACCCTCTCCGAAATGACGATATCCAACTATTTACATATGAGTGCCTTACAAAAGAACAGCTATAAAACAGGCTATCAGAGCTATCACAAAAAATACCAACTAGTAGTTTTGGGAATCTCAGAATTGGAAGAATTCGGACAATCTTGAGGCATGAAATTTCAATTGTCAAAAAAGACCTGCTTTATTGAGGAGACTATGTATTTAGCAAAAAGCATTAATTGAGGACATTAATAGCTTAGTAACAATAATAATTAATAATAGTAGAAATAAAAATAATAAATAGTTATAATAAAAGTATTTCATAGGCATCTCAAAGTCTATGATTTACCAGATTTAAGGGATCTCTCATATTAACTCTACACAAAATAATTTACCTCGCCATTCTCAAACGGAGGCACCTGTGAATAACTTGTTGTACATGTCACCGTAGTGTCATCCTTGAATGACTGTAGCAGTGAGGAGGTTCCAAAGAAGTTTAAACATTCACTGTTTGTCGTAGCAAAATATTGCCAAGGTGTATATGTTTTGCCCCCATCTACAGATTTTTCCAAAGCCCAGGTTCCTGGACGAGGCGCATTTCCTGCTTTGACTATGACATAGGCTACCTGATATTCCTATAATTAAAAAAAAAAACAAATAATAATTATTCGCAGAAAGGACAGTTGAGGCATCACCCTTAAAAAATCCAGTTGAGCCACCTTAATAACCTACACCTTTAAGCAATAGACCCTTCAATGGTTCTTTTCAAGTTTTGATAAAGACTAGTTAATGCCTGAGTTGCACATGGAGGTTGGGTTCTTAGGAACCTGGGAACTGCAGCTGCCGACCCTAACCCAGGTAGCAAGAACACCCCAAAAGCCTTCCCTACCCACAACTCAGCCATGAGCCCCGCCCGCCACACCCAGCCCCAGCCCAAGCATCCATCACACTGAACCAAGTTCAGTGGAGAAATAAGGACAACAATACCATTACTACTAATAATAAAAGGTGAGGAGGGAGGGAAAAAAACACTAAAACTGAGCAATACTGAGCAAGATGCCCGAACACTACACACTGTAAAACTACAAGCACATATAAATGCGCATGCATAAATTGTATTTGTAAACTGCTGACCCAGGGGGCACTGGAAATTGCCCCACAACAGGCCTAGTACAGTAACGCAAACCCTGGAAAAAACACCACAGCGTAGGATAACTCCCAGCTCATCAAAGCATGCCAATAAAACGGTAACAAACTCCAACTCAATTGAGACGTTTAAATTTGTTATATTACATAATCAACGAACAAAAACATTAATATTTACAGGTAGTGGAGTCAACAAGTTTGTTTCATTTACCAGCACTAAGCTGCACCATGGTGTGTACAAAAAATTTTCTTTGCGAATACTTTCGGTAAAAAAATCTTTGTGCTCAATAAGTAGTTTTGCATCTTAGTGTTCATTGCATAACATGCTATATTTTATTCTGAATGGACTTTGCGCACTGCTCTTAATATTAAGATAGCAACCTTCGAAAACTATATGGTAAAAAATAAGGTTGTGTGATGTTGACGCAAACTCTTTTTAGCACACACTAGCTTTTGGCATCAAGTTGCGCGAGGCCTGTAAGATGCTTATCATGTCTTGTTCTGATTTGGTCAATTTTACTTCATAAACCTTTAGCTGCCCTTTGTAGCCCTTTGTTCAAGTTTTCATCACACTAGTGCTACGTGTATAAGTCATTCCATACTAGGAACTAAATCTTGATTGGTTCTCCAAAAAACCCCAGCACTGAAACAGAATTATACACTTCATGGTTATATGCTTCTGTTTTCAACAAATAACCTTCAAACTTGGCATTTTCACTAATTTTAAGGTGTTCCTTTCAGCTGTGTTGATGGATTTTCGATAACTGATCCCTGTCAAACGCTGAAAGAACCACGGAAGGGTCTATTTTATTATAGTGTAACAGAAACTGCAAAGCATGACAAGCAAGCAAAGGGCACTGGGATACCATGACACATGGTTACTGGTCGTTTTGATACAAAGCCATTTTGACACAAGTCGTTTCGATGGTTGTAAAAATAAAAATAGTAGTAGAAGTAGACAGCTGGGTTGTCAAAGTTAGTGGCCAGTCCAGGGATATTTTATTTGAAAAACGCCATCTGTAAAGAAATTCCAAGCAGAGTAGCCGGCCGATACTAACCAAGTAGGCAGAGATTTTCACTGGCAGCTGGCTACTTTTGACAACCCTGCACAAGTTTATTCAGTCGAATCGTAAGTAGTTTCACACTTTTGGCTTAAAGAATGAAAAATAACCACCCAAAATATTTTTTCTTGTTCACACACAAACTATACTTGCAGTGATCAAAATTTTTGTGCAATTCCACCACTTGAGTTCGTATCAAAATGACAAGTTTCCTCACACATTCCTTGGCTCCGTGAGAAATTCCTTTAAATTCTCTGACAGAAAATGCCCAAGCTTTCTAACCGCCTGGCGTGAGTCTCACGCCTGCCTTTAATTTCTCTGACAGAAAATGAATAAATGACAATACCTTCCTCGCGATCTCTGATTTTGTGGATAAGCGTTTTTCTCGATAACTTTTTACGTCTTCGGAAGACTTCGGACTTCTTCGGGAATCTTCGGAAATGATCGTGTCGTTTTCAAAAATCCCAGCACTCCCAGGATAAAAATCTCACGCCTACATCTCAGAAAAAGTTGGCAGGTATAAACACTGTGAACCTTTAAAGACTTCGGATTGTATACTTAATTTTGATTTGTTGTGCTTTCAAATTTCACTTTCAGAGGCCGCATACCGTGTATCTTTGAATCACATTCCATAGGGCAAGATTTAACATTCATTCAGGTCACTTAAAAAACGCATCCAAATATACAGGCTTTTAGTAAAAATGCTATGCTAGGCTCACTATTAAGGCTCACAGTTTAATGAGACTGTCTTTGCCTCTTTTTGGAAAATTTTTGCGAGGTATTTGTGACCAAGACCTAAGGAATGTGACCTGAAATGCAGATTTCCTTCAAGAGATCTGCGGCAACGCTGAGAAAGAATTCATACAAATCTCGAGACCAAATTATGGACTGTGCAGTTGGCCGATCAGGTCGATCAGTTGTACAAGACAAACTGAAGCTTAACTGCAGCAAACCACAATTCTGTCACTGAAAAAGAAGACGATTGAGGATAATAGCATATTGCGATCAGCATAAAAACGGCGAACACACCGACCTGTCCCAAATCGATTGTGATGTTGACTTGTTGATACTGAAGTCCTCTGGAAAGCGGGGGTGACTGCCACCAATTTTCAGTTCCATCAATAGCGTATTCAATCGAATGATTACTTGAAGGTGTCAATGGGTCACAATAATCGCAAGATAGACCAGAGATTGCAAACTTTCCCGGCACGGTCGCCAATTTGCAGAAAAGCTCTTTCTCGCCCACGCCAACTCCACACGTTGAAGTCGCTTCGATTTTCTTGCCCTGTGCGATGTTGATGGCTGTTATTTGACCATAAGTTAACTGTGGACTAAATGTTAAGGACAGAATCACAGGTACAGCGATGGCAAGTAGCTTTTTCATGGCCGAAATCATGGTTCGCGCTCGATCCATACGACCACGACCAAACTCGACTAACTGACACAGGACCCTTTGTCTGATCTGAATTGATGGGGATCAGATTTCTTTGGGCGTAGAAGGAGGCAGTGAGAGGAATTTCCGGACTTCCCGCTATTTTACACCACGTTTTCTCGAATTCGTAATTGGTCCAACTATATGCGGTGAACTCTAAAATCCAGAAGCATGACGATGTAGCAAGGCTCGTCAATGCTGCAAGCAGAAACCAACGCATAAACTTAAGCTTACCGGAAAGAAACTTTCCGACCATAACGGAATTAATGTACACGTGAATCATCGCCAGCTAGTCAAGACCGGAAGACGAAGTAGAGTAAAAAAAGCCTAAAAATGTAGCAGTTAATTGACAATTCTCCACACTGAGGACAAGACAGGAAAGTGTCTGCCTCAGGCCTCGCTCCTGGCACTGAAGACGTGTGAAGTATGGGAAGGAGAGTCCTCGTGTGCCCATTTTGTCACGCCCTAACCACAGGCCACCTACACAATCTTTTTTGAAAAGGTATTTAAATAGCATGATTTGTAGTGATATTTGGCATAAATACCACGAGTGATATTTCAAGCTTGTTGAAATATCAGGAGTGGTATGCCAAATATCACGTACAAATCATGCTATTATTTGTTTATGCTACTACCCGTAGAAGGCTTGTAATTTTCACATGTAGGTATTTCTCCAATACCATTGGTCTAAGCCAATCAAATTGCAGAAATTTCTCAAGTAGTAGTATAATATGGTAATTGCTGTTCCTTAATAGATGTCCTTATATTAAGAGGAACAGCAAACAGCGAACTCAAAATCGCTCAAAATACCACTTCTCATGCAAAAGGACGGCAATTGACCACGGGTTAGGGGTGGAGACGTATGATATTTCAGCCTATGATGTCTATATAAAGACTCTAAAAGAATCCATGAAGTCACTGACGTGTATACTGATAAAATACATCTAATCTTGTTATGCATCGTGATAATGATACGTTCACTTTCGGTTTAAGTAAGACAATCAGTATCTAGCCTGCATAACAGTCGCTTTATGAGCCAAGCGACGCGAACGCGGCATTTGCGCGAATCGCGAGACGAGGGGAGGAGACAAAAATAAACCTTTATTTTTTTTTCTTCTCCACTCGTCTCGTAGCCTCTTACGTAGGCGTTTTTAGTGAACATATTAAATTCTGCAAGCAGAATACTGCAATGCTGATCGTACAGCATAATATGTCTCCTTTTTATTTTTGCTGATCAGGTCTTTATAGATCCTACGTTCTCCGGCATATTCGTTTGCGGTCCTTTGCAGTCCTTTGTGGTTAATGTTTGTCTTTAGTGAAGCTCGTATTTTTTGGGGAGGGACGAAATACGAGGTCCTCTAAAAACGCCTACGTGGGAGGCTACTCGTTTCGCGCTTCGAGAAAAATGCCGCGATTGCCTCGCTTTGCTCATAAAGCACCTGTTATGCGGGCTAATCTGTATCTCAAAGGATTATAGCTCGACTTTCTTAAGTTGATCAGATCTAAAAGCATCTCCCAGACCAACAACCAGGGTCTTTAAAAAAACTGGTAAGATTGCTAGCTGTCGCGTCGTTAGTTAGGCGGTGACATCAAGCCGTTTGCTTTGTCTCCTTCATCCTCTTTTACCAATTGGAGGTAGAAGTACATGTAAAAGAACCCACACTGCTGTTCGAAGAGAGTTAGGGAAGTAGACCCCGGTGCATGATGGGTTCTATCTCTCATGGAGGGGGACGGGGGAGGGGACTGCTACAGGCCCGCAGTAATTGGCGTCATGCACTCTTGCGGTGACCCTGCCAAAACTGGCGACCCTAAGTAAATAAATTAACAAATGCGAAAAAAAAAATCTCTCCTCGCCAACAAACATGGAGAAGGAACAAGTGACGTATTCCTAAAACGATCTACGACTGAGTGTTTAACAGGGAATAAATGAGATTTCTTTACAGCGCCTTCAACAGAATAGGGAGCTCTAACAGCGACAACGTCAGTTTGAAAAGGCATTCGCGTTTTTTCAAACAATGTCGCATTTATTCCAATCCGCTGAAAATGTCAAACGTCCTCCATAAAGCGTGAAATCAGGCATTTTCAAGTGGTAGTCGTGCAGTGACAGCAAAGAAATGTACAACAAAGCATGATGGAAATGCAAAGTTGTTGTTTTGCTTAACAAACCCATTGCTTTTTTAGCGTTCTCGTTGCCGTCGCCTTTGTCGTTGCTAAGGCTCCCTAATAGGGATTTCCGAAACTACGACTGCAACGACAATGGGGACGTCAAAAACGCAATAGGGTTCATGAACAAAACAAGCATAACTACGACGTGAAATGACCAGATTTTAAGTTAACTTGGGAACGGGAACGGCAAGGCGCTAAATTCTACCATCTCTGTCAGAACTCGGGCGCGGTTCCTTCTCTTCAGCTCCAACCCACATTCCCTTTTTTTAAGATAAAAAGGTCTTCATTTCCTGTTGTCTAGAATAAACAAACTCAACCGCGATTTCTTCCACTGACAATATTTTTCACTTGTTTGCCCCCTGAGAGACCACGTGACATTGCTTTTATCCCATCAGTCCTTAAGCGCGCGCAAAGATGGCGGGAATCGTAAATAAGGTCTATTGAGACAGTAAGAGGTTATAAAAGTTCAAAGTAAGTTTATAGAGCAGCCGTCAAATCAGTGTTGTTGTCAGTGATGTTTTCGAATACTTTATTTTAAAAAAATAGTACTTATCCTTGGGTCTATTTTTTCAACGCCCCATTTGACGCGGCAACGTTAATTTTATGCGGCATTTTTTTTTAAAGTGCGGATATCCCGCAAGGCCGCGCTCTAGAGTAAACCCTGCAATGGTGGTCTCTTAAATTCCCATTCGGAAGAAATGTCCATTACACTGTTCCGACTTATATTACCGGGTGCGACATTTTTTCGCTCTATCAATAGCAAAATTATGTCTGGAGATTCATCGCCTTCTATAGAGGAAACAAATTCTCAAGATGTCTTGGCAATGAGGCTTGTCATCGTTGAATTCTACGGTACACCTTTTCTGTCCTTCCTTCCGTCTTTGCAACAAAGCGAGCCGCGGTGAATAGAAAGTCACTTAACCTTAAAAAGACGAGAAAGAACATTACTGCATTACAGAAAAAAGAGGGGTTTCTTTAGTCCACATACCATGCTTTTGAGGACTACCTGAGAACAGAGAGACAAACCTATTTATCACTATTACCTGTTCAAGAACGTGCCAACGGCTGGTTCAACACTACCATTTTGAACTAGGGGTACTATCCTATAAAGAAAAAGGAACAGAATAAATTCCTGGTTTGACTGGCCACATCTGCCACATTTATGAGTTCAACAGACCAATAACCCGATATATTAAAACTCATACTTGGCTGCAAGGCTTGGGGGAATAAAACAAAAGAAATCATCATGAGGCTCAGTAATGAATAATACATTTTTTTGTTTTATTCCCCCAAGGCCTTGAAGCAAAGTATGAATTTCAATATATCGAAAATGGTCTATTACATAGTTAAGGAGTATATGAGAATTAGAGATTAACTTTTTATAGCAGAATACATGAGTATTTCGCCAGGAAAAATCGAGGTAGCCCCAATGACAAGGTAAAAGTAAAGGCATCCACAAGCCAAAGGCCCAAATGGCCAGAGCTTATCCCGGTTTCATTAGCATGAAGCACCTAGGAGTATTGCTACTCCCCCCTGGATGGGATGCTAGTCCATCGCAGGGTTAACCCCCAGCAGTATGTCACCGGTATCCATTTATACACCTGGGTATAAAGAGACAAAGTGGAGTAAAGTTCCTTGTCTAAGCGAAGGGCGAGGCTTGAACCCCGGACATCCAGATCCGGACTTCAAGGTGTTAGCCATTTGGCAACACACATCTCCACAAATGACAAGGTTGCCATATAAGAAAATTTTACTATTAAGGTGGCCATATGGCAGGGTTTCACCACAATTCTCGAATGATGGAACACTGACCTAAACCACTGTGACACTTTGTAAGCCTGATATGAAATGTGATTTGACTGGCATGTGCGAAAATAGCCATTCTTGTATGATGTAAATTCTAACAAACTTTTTTTGTTTATACAGCTGTACCAAAATAGACCTTTTTACCGATACAGTGGCCATATTGCATTAATACGATTTAAGGAGTATTATAGGATGCCCCGGGTTGCATGAGCACATTTCGTTTGTATTTTCGAGCGCTTTTCGCGACATTTTTTCTTAAAGTTTTCTTAGAATAAGATTGTAATGGGGAAAAAGATCCTTGTGCCATGTTTGGATGTAATAATGGCCCCCTGGGCATCCTATAATACTCCTTAAATCGAATTAATTCAATATGGCCGCCATATAGGTAAAAAGGTCTATTTATTACCTTCTTTCTGCTCTTCTACACACTGATCTTGCTACATGTAACATTGCACTACTCTTGCCACCTGACTGAAAGGAAATAAATATTGTTGGGAGGGTTCATTACCATTTTGAGCCTGATATGGAAAGGTTTAAGTTTATGTTTCATTCAGAACCGCTTACTGGCAGAATAAAATTTCTCAGTGGAGGAAGCTGGCTATGGTATGTGTCTATCCATTCTTCCAATATGTCTGCAGTCTCTAGGTTGAATTCCGTTTTTTCTGTGAAAGTAACAAAACATCATTATTAGAGTTCTCACATATTTTTGGACCAGGAATTAAAGGATTTTTCAATGAATTTCAAGGAGACAGTTCTCACGCTTTTAAAGGACTCCATGCTTTATAAGACAAGGCAATCATTATTTATTCCAAGACATTCAAGAACTTTCAAGGAACATATAAATCCAGAATACAATATACAGAGTACTAATATTGTTGAATTTGCAAAAATTCAGTTTGGCCTAAACATAGGGGGGGGGGTGGGTCCTCACGCTCCTCCCTTGGATCCACCACTGTAACTTTTCAGAGGGTCAAAAGAAAAATTATGTGTGTCCTGATAGAAACTAGAGTCTCAAGATCATAAAAATGCATCCAAAAAGAACACTAACTTAGGGTCCTTTCACTTGAGGACTGCCGAGGAGTTGCCACATTTGAGCCAACATCTTGAAGAATGCACTGGATCTACAGGCAATAAATACCAAGTATGGTTGAATTCCCCTCATTGTTTATGATAAGCTTAGATTGCCAGTAAAACTTTACATGAGTGCTTGTTATTTGGCAAAAAAATCTGGTTCAACATGACCAACCACTACAGGTTGTGTGGGGAAGATAATTTTAAAAGAGAGAATGAGCTTTTTTCCCAAAGCTGTTGCAGTGTCACTGCAAGTCTGGCACAGCTTATGTAACAAGAGTCAAAACAACGGGCATCAAAATTTGAATGTTCAATAATATTGGACAAACATCATGTTAAATGACTGTATAGATGGGCAGAGATTGCTGGTACAGTGGTACACTGAAAACAATAGGGCCATCAAATCCTTGGCTATAACAGTAAGCTTAGTGTTGTATTATTCAAGTTTCTTATAGTCACCGGCAATACTAGCAACAAATTGATGATGTTTCTTGACAGATGATCAAAGGATAATTTATGACTGGTGGAATAGTGGCACAAAGTCTACAGGCTATCCTTCTTCCCTTCCTCTCTACTTTTTTCTGTTTCCCATCTTATCACACTTCTTGCTTCCGCTTTGCCCTATCCCCTCACTAAGAGGGGCTGTTCATAGGACAGGGTTTAGGTTAATTTGTTGCTTGACATGAATTCAAACTGTGATACCCACAGTTATAATAATGTTAAAGGACTTCATTTTTTGAAATAGCCCCAGAAACTTTGCTTGATTTGTAACTCAATTTAGCAAAACTTTCAAAATTTATTTTACCATGATAGAGCATGGTACAATGATACCTCTTCAAGCTTCGAAACGACCTCTTTATGACCTGCTTCTTCACAATACTCACATGCAACTCTGCAATGTTAACAGTAACCAAAAGTAGTATTTTATGTGGTGAAAGAATCATCGACATACATAAATGTACCATTTCTTATCTTACAGGAACAGTGTGTCTACCACAATTGGGGCCACCTAGACAAAATTGACCAATCAGATAACAAGAAAACAATAACACATTCTGAGGCAGTTAGTTTTCGATTGTCAATCAAAATTACCATGAAAAGAAATTAACAACATGGATCAATCAATCAGTATTACAATCTACAGATGTGACCCAGAAACTGGTAGAAGCTTTACCAAACTTAAAGGTTAAACGTTTTACTGAATCTAAAATTATTCTTACTTACCCAATAACGCTAGAAAGTTCATCAGTAGCTCCTAGTGCTTCAAATAACACATCAGTTTTTAACCGCCGTTCTCCACCATATGTACTTGTATATCCTATTCAATAAAGTAAGAAATGTTTTATTGAAAAAGTCCTAAACACTTGATTCTAAGAAGTCTGAAACTCAAAAGGTGATTAAGTAAGAGCAAACAATATACACTAGGATATCAGAAGAAACACTTGTGTATTACCTTTATCACCAGTCCTGGTGTAAATCTTTGGACCTACAGTGCTGTTAAAAGTAACAGCAAAGTAAATTCATTTGCATATCAAGAAGAAGCACTACAGTTGACTCCCAATAACTTGTACCCTCGTAAATTCGAACCTGATGCTAACTTGAACCAAAGTCGATTTCCCTCATACATTTATTGTAATTTTACCCTTGATAACTCGAACCCTCGATAACTCAAACCTTCTGTTAACTCAATTTAATTCTTGTTTCCCGTCAAATAATTTCTATATAATTTGACCCTCAAAAACTTGAATCATGTTTAAGTGTGTGGAAAGACGGAAAAAAAGAAAAACGGTGTACTACTGTAGAGAAGTCCGAAGCACTGAAATTATTTCAAAACAACCGTGACAATTCTTTATTCAATTATCTTGGACGTTCAGGTATCGCTTAGGGCTGTGTATAAAGAAATGTACAAAAAATGCTGTACGGTCTGATCTCCATTAGGGGTCAATTCAAGCTTTAGCCACACCCATGGTCTCCCTGAGGCGTTTAGTTTTAATTTTTCGACGAGAAATCCCCGTCAGTTTTTTCCCCCGAGGGAGTTGAGTGGGTTGAACCAACTTCGACTAAATTATTCATAGACTGCATGACTATGGGACTAAAAGACCATAGTTTGTTGTAGTTTTAACAGGCAAGATAATTCATAAAGTGCATGACTGCAGGACTAAGGACAGCAAGTTGTAATGTTGGAGTAAAGACCTTCCTGACTAAAGAGCGTCGGCAGCCAAAAAGCCAACTACAAAATGAAAGAACCGACTTAGACTAAAATACTTGTCGATAATTTACAGTAAAAAGTCGCAGCAAAAGTAACTTTATTTGAAGACATCGTACCTTGAAGACATCCATCTTACCAGAGAACCTTGAAATAATATTGGTATCTTCCTTGTTTTGCTGGGAAAGGACAAAAACTGAGAAAGAATTCGGCGGGCAACATTGGCCGCCATTTTGAAGTTTCTACTTTTGATGTCGTGTATGAGACCATGAGATGTCCTAGCTATCTATGCGAGAGAAGACTGGGTTCACGTATCGAACGAATTATTTTGACGAATCACGATCGCCCATTTTTGACAAATTTTGGGGTTTTAATTACTGGCAGTTTTCAGTAGTGTAGGAAAAGTATTGTGAAGTACAGTCGAAGCTCTCCTTGCGACCACTCTCGTAAAAAATTAGCGACCAGCTCTAGTTACGACAAAGATGTAGGTCTCTGTGACCGTAAAACTCATTTTTACTAGATCAACCAATCTTTACTTCTATAAGGGATATGTTGAGTTCTTTACTAAAATAGAAGCTACAATCCTGGACAAAAGTCCTTGGGAAAGTAAAGCCATTATTCGTGATTTTCTGTAATGTATGGATGCCCTGATAAAACAGTGCAAGCTTTTTGAAAATACCGTAAAATTCCGAAAATAGGCCCCTCCATGTATAAGCCCCTCTAACTATAAGCCCCCCAAACTCGTAAGGCAAAAAACCCTCCGTTAAATCGCCCCTCCAAATATAAGCCCCCCGGGGGCTTGTACTTGGAAAATTTCCCTCAAATACAAAGTAAAACAAAGCAAAAACGGTAAATTTCCTTCAACTATAAGGCGAGCCCAATCGATTTTCAAACGCGAATTTCCCTCCGTCATGATAAGCCCCTCCGAATATAAGCCCCTCCAAAAATAAGCCCCTCAAAAAGGGCCTTTGAAAAATATAAGCCCCGGGGCTTATTTTCGGAATTTTACGGTATCAGCCTTGGGTTTCTCCCTCCCCCCACCCTATACAAAGTTGAAACCCGGGAAAAGTTCTGGATACATGCCTCCAACCTTGTTTGTGGGGTGGGGGAGGGGAAGGGGGGTGGGCATGTGTGATTTAAAGAGAGCCCTACAAATGCAAATGTGTCCCAAGACTTTTGTCCATAATTGTAGCATACCATTTCCAGAGAGATAAACTTCTCTCTGGAATAATTGCTGCTACTGTATGAATTCTCTGAAATAAGCAAGGTTTTATTTTTTACATTGTATTTTTAAGTTATCTGAAGAATTAATTTTGTTACTGCGCTTTTCACAAACATGTGAACTCTAAAGTTCAAAAGCCACCTTTACAATTGCGTTTTTCGCTGCCGTCAATCATAATTACGATCACAAGAAACGAACCTTGAAACACAGAAACACACAAAACGGATCCAAATCCACCAATCACAAATCACAAACCATGACCTTTTGAACCCGTTACAGTAAAGTTTTGTTTCTTAAGAGGTCCGTTAAGATGATTGACGACAGCGAAAAACGCAATCGTCAGTGGGCTTTTGAACTTCAGAATTCGCATGTTTGTGAAAAGCGCAGTAAAACCACTTAGTAATAAGTTATGAATAGCTTTTGCAATACTGTATTCTGGTTCGTTATAGTCATAGATAGAGCGAGCCTGTTGTTGCTGTTGTTCTTATTGATCTTATGGAAATGGCTCCATGTCCCTTGACAAAGCATTTTTAATTTCAACGGACAAAACTCCTCAACCTAATAGGATAAACAGGCGAAACAATTGAAGTAATTATTCATTATTTATTATAAATTTCACTTCACTTACCTGCTGGCCTATTTTATCTAGCTCTTTCTTACTAGCTATCGTCTTCTCTTTTCATCGATCATAAGTCCTTTGTTTTCGCGTGCATTCTCCCTTCAGTTGCTTTTCGGTAGCCTGTCGTCTTCTCTTTCACTGACTTCGTTTTTTGCCTCTCTTTTATCCTCGGTAGTACATAAGCTCTTTTCTGTTATTGAATCTCTCTCAATTTCTCTTCGTTGTTCGGTAGTCTATTGCCTTTTTTCCCTGTTTTCTCGCTTTTTCTTTTTCTCTTCTCTCCGGGTTTGTTTACATGAAGAAAATTTAAAAAAGCTGTTTAAAACCAAGAGAGTAGTTGACATGTGATATCCCGCCTCAAAACGCGGGTTGCTCACACACTTTCCCGCCAAAACCTGCGGGCTGCCCACACACTTTCCCCCGCCGAAAAATACGTACTCTTGCTTTCCCGCCAAATATGATGGGGGGATGTACGGTATTTTCGGGTTTATTTTTGCCCTCTTTTTGCGTACTTTTTTTTAACATTATTTTCGGGCCTAACGGACTACGAGGAGCTACTCTTACTTTTCTTAAATATTTTCACCCGTTGTGTAAATGTTCTGTTGCCTAACAAACCTTTTCAAATGGAAGCCGGGCTTTTAGTGACAATCATTTCACTCTTATATGGCGTGCGCGATATTTTTAAATTCATAGTTGATACGGGTGCGTTTAAGCCTACATTGGAATCTCGTCCTTTCGAAAATATTTAAAATGATGAAAAATATATTGTTCAAATCTGACTATTAAGCTGTTGAACTTCACATAGGCCTTTCGCCTGAAAGCTTCTTTACACTCTTATAACTGCTTCATAAAGCTTTACAGTTCATCATTGATTGCTTAACTTGTCCTCGCCAGTTAGCCAGTCTTTTTGACGAGGTAACACCTACACCGCACAGGCTCGGAATCCCCCGTGCTCTCCTCCAGTTCACAAAGCCTCTCAACCATTTTGAGTCGCTGAGGCATAGGTTGATAGGTTGAAGACCAATTTTTCGAAGTTCAGTTAAGTACAAGGGATAGTAGCCCGTACGCCGTTTAAAGTACGATACTTAGCAGGGAAATTATAATACTGCAGATAGCTTTTGTCATATAATACGGAGACATCAACCGAGAATCAAAAGCCGCGATCTGGGTTTACTACACCATCCATACCGTTTGCACGCTTTCGGACAACCTGAAATCATACGCATATGTCTTGGATTAAATGACCAAAACTCTAACCACGAACATCTGCCAAATTTTCCAGTTCCCTAAACCTCCCCAACCTCCAACCCGACGGAGAGTTTGCTTGAAATTCCGAAGGTAATCCGTAAAATGTAAAATGAAATAAGATTCTTTTTCATTAAAAGTAAAACTCAACCTCTCAATAAATTATTTAATTCGTTCTTCCGCAAGAAGGAAGGGCACAAAACTTCCTTGTACAGAATGAATGCTACACGTGCAAAAGTAGTACCAAGATGAAAAAGTAACACAACGTAGGTTAAGATCTTTTAAGAACAAGTCTTCATTAAGTTTATTTCTCATAAGAGTGATGATAAAGAAATTGATAGGTATATTATATTGTTGACGATCGCGATGGTAAATAGACGTGACATTTGATTACCATGATTTCTGGACTGAGCACCTTCCCCCGAAACATGAGTTCAGCCCTCCGCCAATATGGCATGTGTTGGAAAAAAAAAACAGATGAATCAAAAACTGTCCAATATGCTCCACTAGATTGCACTCGTCAACAACTAGAGTCCATTGGAGTTACTGGAATTCTAGTCGTGTAATAGCTCGTTCTTTTAGCCATGACCTGAGACAAGCATGCTACACAACGTAAGTAGCCCACGAATAGAAATGAGGGACTCCAGTGGAATCTAGATTAACACGATTAAGCTGCAAGAATCCTGAAGTTGTTAGAGAGAGACTATTTGTAGAATGTAAAACAGTCCGTATTTTTGCTTATTGAAGTACGCACGAACAATCAAACAAAAGGTCTGGGGCGAGGCTGAGTGAGGCTCGCGCGATTCGCGCCCGTGACGCTCTTACGCTCACTAAACCGATTTTAAGAAAAATACTAAAATTTCAAAGGGACTACCAGTGTATTAGGAGGACAGCGAAGGAGTGATTTAACACTGTCTTTAATAACAAACCACATGTCCAAAAGGTTTAAAACCTTTTTGGGCGAATACAATGTTCTTGCATAGAAAACGAAAAAACGTGTTCACGAATGAGATCGCCCTAATCTCATGTCAAAATATTACATCTAAAGCTCTGTTCTTTGTACAAAATTCATCAATAAATATAACATTTGACATATAAACAACAGGCATACAGGAGAAGATTAGTTCAAAGTGCCTCTACACTGTGGCGCACCACATAAACAGGGTATTTTCTCGTCCTCGATGGGGAATTTATAATCGTAAGTAATTTCTTCATTCACTTGAATGTCCCTCTTGGAGTAGATGACTATTTTCTTTTCATTTTCTAACGTGACGATCTTGGCATAGCAGTTGGGCTGCCGAAAGAGAGAAAAGAATACGTTTAAGTAAGACACAGGAGAAAAATCGCGAGGGTCAGAAGTCTCTCTCGCGCGCGTGACTCTTTGCCTATCGCCCCGGACGTGACTTTTCGTCTAGCGAGCTTGCTCGCAGAGTAATAAAAAGAAAACATTGGGTTAACCCAAGGTGCTTGGCATTAAACAGATAAATCAAGCTACGGTAAGTAACAAATAGTATACAGCGATTTTGAATTACCCTTTAAGGTTTGGTTTGAATAGAACTGAATAAATTTAGTACTGACAGAATAGAAATACTGAGCAAAAACAAAAAAGAATGGGGGAAGGGGGAGACCTTTAGATTATATGACGAGAACAAGAAATACGAGGACGAGATCTTCTCAATATCAGGTAGTGAACTAGTGATACTTTGACGGGAAAACGTGATGGTGGTCGTTATTCTACCACGGGTGTTGGCGAAAATAGGCTGATTTAGCAACAGGACGAGAACGTCAGTTGACGAAGGGAAAGCGCGCGGAAAGGACTAAACACGACTTCCGGTGTTCAATTTGCCGCTCTGCCATTGGTCAAGCCAGTTGTTTGATTTGCGCGCGTCATCGTCAACTGACGTTCCCGTCCTGTTGCTAAATCAGCCTAATGTCTTAGGGGCGCCGCGGAAACAAGTTATTTCGATCAAATGTGAGAGGTTTGATCATAATTTGCGATCGGGAAAGGGCTTAATCTTCTTCAATGAGAATAACCGAGCTAAACTTTCTGGTGAAAAAAAAAAAAAAAAAAACAAAGAAGCTTTCCTGGGTGTCTAATTTTTGAGAACACACAAAAACCCTTTAAAACTCGTGCTCGCAGTCGACCTCTTCGTAAATGTCTCTAATTACTTACATCACAGCAGTGATTTATAAACCGCGCCAGGTTTCCTTTTGTAGTTGCATCGATAATCGTGTCCTGATCCACTCGAAACAAGTAACTGGAACCAATGCCCATTTCCTCATAACGCCGTTCACGGATATCCGCTATAGGCTGTCTGATGATCTCTCCAACATACTCGGTCACCATTTCATCCGCTGCTATTGATTCCTGTGCAAACAATCCCCAGTCGTGAATACCTGACTTGGCAAATCGAAGCTGTTTCTTACGAACCTGCAGAATAACAAGACAAAACGCATGCACTGAGAAGAAGAAGAATCTTGAAGCATTACATGTCTGGGAGGTGCTATACTATACTCGGGTGTTTGCCTTCTAGGTCTGTGATGGATTTCCAATTCTTTCTTTTTTTTTTATTAAAACAGAGAGATTTTTCGGTCGCTGATTGGCCGAGAGCTATGGCCTATCAGAGCATAGTCTCACAGACTATGGAAATGACGTGGCGTAAATTCTTTTTAACTTTCTCTCGCACGCAATTTTTCAAGAAACTTCACCGGAAATGGACGTCAAAAACTGTCCATCTCATTGCAAGAAACAAATATACAACACTTTTCCATGCTCTATACTCTTATCGACCATAAAAATGACGTGAAACCACTCTCCAGACTTGTAAACATTTTGACGTCAATTCTATGGTAAAGACCATGGAAACTTGTTGTCCAATGGTTAATTGGCCACATAGTTAGCAAACTAGAATACCGGTAATTTCAAACAGCGTTTTAACAGCAACATGAATCTATCCGTTCCAAGTGTGTCCCGTGGAATCAAAACCTAAATCAAGACTACTGGCATTGTATGTGTATGGGAAAAAACTTCTCACCCTTAGCTGATTGAATTTGAGTAAGTCGCCAAATTCCTCGTTACACACAGCTGACTGAAGTCTTCTTTGAATTGCTCTGTGCTCTCGAGATTGCTGCTTGGCCTTGTTACCATCCGTTTTCTGAAATCAAACATTGTACATGTAAGCAATGGACTTTAGACAGCTAAACATTCGGGTTTCTTTCTCAAAATCGGTTTCTCAAGGCGAGAAGAGACTAGAAAACTAGAAACCTCTCCCTTCTCCCCATTACTTCTGTAGGAATGAATAGGGGCGACAAATGAGAACTCAAATTTTGATCTTAGGGTTCAAAGGGTTAACATTGCCAATTACGCGTCCTTTTTCGCTATGTAACTCAGTGACGTTGACGAGAAAATTACTTGTAAAGCAAAAATTACACCTTCGTGTCAAACAAATAGGTCTCCAAAACATTACATCAAACCTTACAAACTGTTAGGCTAAAAAGTTTTCAAGTCACCAAATTGCAATCTGATTTAATCTTCTCCATTACTGTCCATCCGCGCCTTCTGTTGTATTTGCTGTGTTATAAGCCCCTATGTTTAACGTTTTGAGCGCTTATTTTCAGTTTCACTCAGTTTTACGACAGTTCCTACTGTTTAAATTTTGATAGATTTCGTGACGTAGCTCCTTTAAGCTGCTGCATTGTACCTAGTCTGGTACACAGCCGTTTTCAGTATCGTCACGGGGAGGAGCGTTGCGTGACGACACTAAAACGGCTGAATAGCAGACTAAATTGTACCTGTTCTTTCTCAGTAATGTTGGCCTGGCACTGAAGCTGTCGCCGCTGAGCTTGCAGGTACTTGGCTTTTTCCTTGATATCAATTTTGTAAAATCCTTCAGAACGGGCACATCCTGTTAGATGTACACGCACACCCTGCTCTGTTTTTTGTTTACGTCGTGACTTTGGCGCAGGTTGGGCAGTTAGTGGTAACAGTTAAAGACAATAATCTTCAGTATTTAACCCTTGGAAATCCTAAAAGTGACCAACATCAGTTTTCTCCTAACAATTTCACACCACAATCAAGAAATTCGGTTATGAGTATTAACAAATTGATCACCAAAGAGAAAATGCTTTGATCTTGAGACTTGCTCACAGTATATTGCCTAAATGGCTTTGAACAACTTAGTTACAAGTAAGAAGATGATGACAGGTGTGTATTAGATGTGGAAGGTTGGATGGGTAACTATGGCTTAAATCACCTCAAATACAGTCGACTCTCTCTTAAACAGACACCGTTATAAGATGGACACCTTGAACCTTTCTTTACTCCCTTTATTTGAGTTTCTATAGGATGCACATCACTATTAAAAACTTACTTATATAAAGGGAGTAAAGAAAGGCAAGGACCAACTCTAGGTGTCCATCTTACAGAGGTGTCTGTTAAGAGAGAGTTCGCTGTATTACAAATAAGAATCAACTCTCTCTAAGATGGACGTCTTTGGGACCAGCATTAAGTCTCTTTAGGATCCACATCACTTTTAGAAAGTTATTTAACTAAAGGGAGTAAAGAAAGGCAGGGACCAACTCTAGGTGTCCGTCTCAAAGAGGTGTCTGTTATGAGAGAGTTGACTGTATTACGTCTTACAATCAACTCTCTCTAAGATGGACGCCTTTGGGACCAGTATTAAGTCTCTATATTATGCACCACACTCTTATAACGTTACTTAAGTAAAGGAAGTAAAGAAAGGCAGGGACCAACTCTAGGTGTCTGTTAAGAGAGAGTTGACTGTATTTCGTTTTAGAATCAACTCTCTCTAAGATGGACATCTTTGGGACCAGTATTAAGTCTATATAGGGTACACATCACTCTTAGAAAGTTACTTAATACTGGTCCCAAAGGCATCCATATTGGAGAAAGATGACTGTAAAAACGTAATACAGTCAACTCTTTCTTAACGGGCACCTCTATAAGATTGACATCTAGAGTTGGTCCTTGCCTTTCTTTACTCCCTTTAATTGAGTCTCTTTAAGATGGACACGGACATCACTCTCTGACAGGTAACTTAGTGCAGGTAATAAAAATTACTGTGTCCATCTTGGAGAGAGTTGACTGAAAGAATATTGCAAGTAGAAGATGCCAAATGATTGTATGAAAAGGATATCAGGATGACTGCTCCAGTGGGCATCCAAAACTGACTGAGACCCAACTTGCTGAAGCTGCTCAAAGCCAACTTTCATGTAATGACAATCCTCGGCATCAATACCCAACCTAAGAAACTCATAGGCCAGTTCATCATCAGCCTCAAATGACCGTACAGGAAACTGGGGCTTAGGAAGACTGAGGTCAGGAACAGAGCGCCTGGGCTGTACAGAGTCAACAGTCACTATATCAACTACAGGAGATTCAGCCAACTCTCTTTGCCCAGGGAGGGCTGACTCAGTGAAGTCTCTGTTATCAGGGTGGAGTGGCTCATCAAAAGATGTAGTTTCTTCCTCCTGTGCTAACATGGGTTCTGGAATAGTCAGGCCATATGAATGATCCAGTTCTACAAGTGACACTGCTAAGGGCTTGTTGGGCGACAAGAGGGGCCTTCGATCTTCAAGTACATCATCTTCTTGGTCCATTTGCTCCACTGACTTCTCTTCTGGTATAAACTTAAGAGAGGAAGGTTGAATGTTCTCTTTATCCTGGGAACCAAACTCAGGAGGACGCAAAGGAGATTTAACATCTTTTTTCTCTAAAGGTTCTTCCACTTTTATCACTGAGGAGCTGTGATTGCTCTCACCACGACCATCATACTGATTAAGACCTTGGAGATCCAATCCATTCCTAGTTTCATCACTTTTGTCCACTATTTTTGTTTCATTTTGAGTCGAATCACTCTCATCTTCAGTAAGTTCAGCTCTATCAGAAGAATCATCATGGTTTTTAAACAAATCAGGAACAATGTTAGCAATATGGAAAGAATGAAATGGCTCCATGTGTGCAACTTGTTCCACTTTACAATTAGTCGTCTGTGACACAGTTTTGGTTTCAACTGTTCTCTCAAGTTCCTTATTACTAGAAACCACACTTTCATTCCATTTCGAACTGGGCGAATCTTGTACTGACACTGGAGTAAATGACTTCTGTACAGAATCTGTAAGAATAAAATTGTGTTAATCGCTATACACCCTAGATTGACCTCGTACTTTTTTAGGGCTCAAAAACAGTCCTGTCCGCCAGTCCGCGACAAGTAAATTTTTTTTGCTGGGCAAGTAACTTTTAATTACCATTTTTAGTTATCCCACTGTAAATTTGTAATGTATATAACATTTTTCTTGTAATAATTCTAAGTGTGAGGCAATAAAAGATTGTTGTTGTTATTTCCTTGAGATGTAGCACAGTCAGTTTAAAAATCAAATGGGTGAGAGACTGATTGCCGTCTATGGCATGACACAAGCCAAACTAGGATGGGTTGAAGGTGTTGGTTTTAAATATTATCATACAAATTCCAGTTCAACAAAAAATGCACCAAATTAAAATTATCATTCCCAGGCAGAGCGAAAAACCAAAGAAGGTTTATCAGTTTTGAATAACCCCATCGTCCTAAGGCACATAGCCAGTTGTGGGGGAGTGTCATCTGAAGAATTCAGCTTCATGTTGAGAAGCTGGTGTCTTGACTAGGTATGTCTTTTAACCCTAGGAAGCACTTCCTAGCTATAAAATGCCCTTGAATTTCTTCATACTGCACATGGCCATATCTTGAGCGGTATAAATGTTTTATATCATTGTCTAGTTCATTCTACAATCAGTGCTTGCATCAAAATTGCCAGTAATAAAAGCACCCATTTCAGCGTACAACTCTTAATGCAACTCTCTTTTATAATCTTCTATCTCAAAATTTGTATTTAAAGCTGCATTTACTTGCATTGAACACTCCTACAACTATAAGCAAAGTAAGGTATGATTGTACAGGGTTCTTATTGAGTTTCAAAGAAGACAACTAGGACATAAAAGTAGGCAGCTCAGTAGTCGATTGCTGAAGTCAATTTCAGGCTCTCGCTCTCTCACCTTACCTTTTTATCCCAAAGAGTAGGTGGCTCAAAAGTTGAAGTAGCAGGGGTTTTTTAGTGGGTTGCTGGCACTTAATGTGAACCCTGTTACATAATATTGTTCCCGTGTTAATCAAGTTGATCATACGATATATTATGAAAATTCTCTGTACCTTGTTCTGATTCCATAACCATTGGGGTGATCTCCTGATTTCCCTCAATATCCTCTTTACTTTCCATTTCAGTCTTTGCCAATTCAGCATCTTCTTTACTCTCACTGGGTACATCCTCCTCCTCACTTTCTTCTTCGCTTTCCTCCTCAGATTCACTGCTTTCACTTTCTTCTTCGCTTCCTTCTTCACTCTCTCCTTCCTCCTCTTCCTCCTCCTCCTCCGAATCACTTCCATCGCTCCCTGATTCACTGCTACTGCTTGAATATACCTTGTGGTAAAGGGATGAGCCTGTACTGGGCCGCCGTTCTTCGCCTGTCGACAAACCAAATCACACTCATATTTTAGAATGCCAAAAAAAAAAACCCACAACCCATTGTAATAAACTGACTACTGAGTGTTTTAGAAGTGCCTGATCATTGTGCAAAAGAGAGGGAAAAAGAAACTCAAATGAAGTTTGCATGATTACAGTCTCCCTGGCAATAAAAAAATAATAAAAACTATCATGATTTTTCTTACTTTCTTGAATTTTAGAAGTGACAGTGACCCTATTTTGCTGCATAAAGCAAGTGCATACCAGTATGCTTAAACAACAAATCAAAGGATTGCATGTGTACCTGAATATTCTAGAAACTTTTTACCAGCGCAGCATTTCTACTTACAAAGCAAAGATCACTTTTAAAAGCAATTATTAACGCTTTTTAGTTGTAAAATAATTTGCTTTCTCATGTGACTGTCAAACACTTTCCGAACGACAGTGCACTTTCTTGTAAAATAGCCAAGTTTTACATACATGAGTTTTATTTAAACCGTGGTTTTAAAAGTGCGATGCTTTCAAATAAATGTTTCCATATGATGAGTACATAACGGTTAGTATGTACGAGCTATATTAAATACAGAATACAGGCGTTTATGGCTAAATTGAACTGCTTTAGAACGCGCTTTTGATAAACACGAGCTAAAAATTATTTTAATACATGTAAAACGGATTAAGCTCAAAGCAGTACGTGCTCTGACCTAGCCAAGTAATTTAAATGCAGTCGAAGTATCCGATTGCCTTTCGCCAGAGACTTGCTTATACCAGCGCAGCATTTCTCATAGAAATTACACTGCTAAATGGAATCACCGACAAACAAAAGCCTACTTTAAGGCAAAGATCACCTAAGAATTCAAGCAAAATAGCGTAACGCTTGTTGGTTCTAAAACCTGTGCTTCTAGTTGACACAACATTAATTCATTCCCTGTTTGCATACGAAGACAAATGGTCAAACGGATTCGTCCAAATAACTGAATAAACCTCAATAGACAACTAGAGGACAGTTTTTTTCCAGTCACTACAAGGCTCTTTGGCTTATTCGCTTTTCGCTGAATGAAATCCCATCATCAGGCTGCAATAGCTCTTTCACACTCCTGTTGATCGCATCTCATGGCATCTTCTCCATATCAAGTACAATATCGGGAACAAATGTGCATAATTCGTCCAAATATACAACAATGATCCACGCTCAATTATTTCAATGTCCTTTTAACAATTCTAAGTCCATTTCTTGCAGATGATATTATCAGTGTTATTTATACAAAACCCATCTCTATAATTGGGAAAAAAAATTCGCCTTACTAGTACCCTCTAGAATATTCCAAACATGTGCGTAAAAGGCACTTGGAAAAAAAGTAATACTAAGTTAGGGAGGTAGGAGTAACGTGTTTAATCTGACTTTAATGAAATAAATTAATGAGAATCGAGTGAGTGATCGAGTGCTATTCGAGTGCCCCCAAAAGCCCATGGCATGACTACGTCATCCATGAGCTAAAAAGAAGAAGGGTCTTTGTTCAAATTTTTTCTGGTTTTTCCTAAACAAACTCCAAAGCAACTATCAGTGATTCATCAATTTTACCTTCAGTACTCCGCACTATTGTAGCTCGAGGAGCTGCATCCATACTTTCGTCAAGTTGCTGCCATGGTGAATGACTACGCTCTCCTTCCATCCTACTAACAGCACGTGGAGCCTTGTTTGAGGAAGAGCTGCTCTCCAAGTCTGTCTCCATTCCAAGGTCAGTTCCTTCTACCATCTGCTTCTTGGAATCTCTTTCCAAGTCTGACGATTCCGTGTTGCTGCGTTTTCGTGATGACAAACTCTGTTGCTCAGTTTTGGGAGGCTGTGGTGGTCGTTTCACTTTGAAAGATGGTAGTTTTGGAAGTGATGCACGTAACCCAAGTAGCATGCTGTGAGACCTGTCAAAAGGACTGGGTCCAATTGCAGATGGGTCAGTACCAGAGTTGGATGGCAGGCCAACAGTGGACGTTGGGTGTGTACCCATGGAAACGTTCCTGGAAGAACTTGTAGTCGACATTGGTGAAGTCTGTGGTGTTAAAATAAAGTAATAATAATGAGATGGTAGGAGAAATCTTTTGCTGTTAGAGTGGCCAAATAACAAAAGAACTACTACTAGAGATTTACTGTAAACTAAAAACAGGATGACACAGGGTGAAAAGAACGTCAGTTTTACAGCTTACCATTTGGGCTAGCTCTAGCTAGCATGTACTAGCCCAAACATCACTTTAACTAGCCCCAAAAGCTCTTTGAGGAGCATGTTTGATTACATAGTTCTTCTGTAATTTGAATTCTTAAAAAAATTCACTTGCCCATCAGGCAAGCTAAGAGCAAAATTCACTAGCCTGGGGCTATCGGACACTACTTTCTTTGCACGCTGTGACACAAAAAGAAATAAAATTGAACTACCAAACAACTTGAATACAGTATTTACTCAAAAATAAATTAAAAGAAAAAAAGACTAATTAATTGTGTGTAAAAAAACATGTTTCCACAGTTTGGGTCTAATGACATGTGACACTTTTCCACAGAAATACTTTGTGATAAGTCAAGTACATGTAAGGCTTGGAAGAATAATTTAATTTCAATATATTATAAAACTTAGTCATCTCACCTTAGGTTTGGATTGGTTATCCCACCAAGATTCCAAAGCTTTGAATGCCGAAGCCTGAACAAGTTTCTTAAAGATGTCTCGCTTGACAACAGTTTCCAGCTCACCACAAATGTTCCTATAAACCTCGTCAATGATCACAGATGACCAATGCTTCTTCTGTTCTTGTTTCTGGTAGCCATAGCTTCCACTATTTGCATAACCACTACTGGAGAACTGAGGTACAGCCCTTGGGTTGTAAAATCCTGATGCACCACTGAAAGATGGGGGGATAGAAGGAGGGGGAATTGGTATGGGTGGGCCCCCTGGGGGAGGTACTGTTGGGGGAATAATGGGCCTTGCAGATAAGGTTGGACAAATAGTTGGCGGAGGTACTACAGGGTGTGTTGGGAGGGGTGGAGGAGGGACTGTAATGGGTGGAGGGGGTACTCGTGGGTTAAAGAATGGAGGGGGTGGTATATTGGGATTGAAAATAGGTGGTGGATATGGTGGGAACACAACATTTGGAGGTGGTACAGAGATTCCCTTTGAACTTTCAGAGGGTTTGCTGTCAAGTTCAGTCACTTCTAAAGTGTCTTCATTTGAGCTGATTGACGATAACGACATGGCATCATCGTTATCATCATTGTTCACATCCCCAACACAGTTTTCATCTTCATTTGCTTCAATGTCAGAATACAGATCAATGGGAGCTGGGTCTTGAGAAGTTGCTGAAGTTTCACATTCAGTGTGGGTTGTTGTCTCAATAGTTGGTGAATTGCAGGGAGAAATATCCTCAGTAAGTGGAAGGTTTAATCTTGATGAGCTGTCCTCCGCCTCTGATGAAACAGACACATCTGCGGCAACATCAGGTGAAACAGAGCTCCAGCCGCCTGTAGATTCTGCATCCTTTGTCAAATCATCTACATTTGATGAAGCAGTCTGCTCATTTTCCACTGAATTAAGCTGGACGCTTTTGAGAACAATTTGGATCTTCTTAGATTTAGATCCACCGTTCTTCTTTTCATCCTGAAATGCAGTCTCGGAAAGCTTGCGTTTTTTCACCGCATTCTGTGCAGCTTTGATTTTATTTCTTGCAATATCCAGCTGGACCTCATGAGCAACATCCCGTTCATCACCTGGAGGCAAAGGCTCCTCTTCATCGGAACAAGTCTCCACCCCAAGAATGTAAGCATCCTCTGAATATCCACTTCCTCCTGTTGTTTCATTCAATGGAGTACCAGCGACAACAGAAGAAATTATCTCTTCTGCGCTAACAGGTTTTGATGTAGACTCTGTTTCTACTGACTCTAATACACACTCTTGATCTTTATCCTTTGCTTCATGATTTTCTTCTTGCTGCTCAATTGTGTTCTTACTTTTAAGAGTTGAAGTCTGATGACTGTGATAAATGCCCTTTGGCTCATCATCTTTTTCACGCAACCGGGGATCCTGCAGTTTTGAGAAATCTTTTTCCATGAAACTATCTGAATTGTCACTTATATTTTCCAGATCTCTTTGAGATTTGTTAACACCATCTTTTGTTTCTAAACTCCCTCTTTTAACTTCCTTCTCCTTTATTTTGTTGCCATGTTTGTGAGTTTCTGAGAGATCTAGATTCCGTCCTTTTAAGCGTGGATCTCTTGTGTACCCATCTTCACCGCGTTCTTCTTTATCTCTTTCATTATCACCATGCAACTCTCTTCCTCTACTGCTTTCACTATCTTTATCTCGTAGCCTAGGATCTCTATTTCGCAAATCTTTAACATCAGACCTTCTGTACTCATCTGACCTTCTGGGACTGGTACTGTACCTATCTCTCCTGTATTTAGTGTCATCTTTTTCCCAGCGACCAGATCTGTTCCTATCATAATCGGACTGTCTGTAATCATCCCTTCTATCAAAGTACCCATCTCTTTTATGTCTGTAGTCACCATGTCTTTCAAGCCTTTGATTGTCCTTAAAACTGCGATCTCTCTCACAACCGCGATCAGACTCCCTGTATTTATCACGATACTTCTCTTCCCGCTCAACTTGTTTCTTTCCTGCCCATTTTGAATAACTTTCACTTCTGTCGATGCGGGGGGAACGGGCTTTTCTAGGAGGGGAGGAACTGTGTACAGTGCTCCTGCTGCGAGAGTCAATAGTCTTAGTGATTCTTGTGTTCAATTCCTCCTTTCCTTTCTTAGCTAACCCTGACTTGTCTTCCTCTCCAGGAGAGAAGACAGGATCAGGAGAGATATCTTCATACTTGAAACAAGATGATGGTGGAGCAGGAACATCTTTAGGGGGTGGAGGTGGGGGCTCCTTGTTGGCTGGTGGTAATGGTGGTTTGGACGTCGGTGGGGGTGGGGGTGGAGGTTCATTTTTCTTCAGGAAGCTATGTGGAGGTGAAACAGGCTCAAATGTCGACTGTCCAGATGACACACTTTGAGGGGACATACAGGTAGAAACACTCTGAGACAGCTTGTTGACAATACTAACACTAGACTTATCCCATGGGCCACTCAGTGATGTTCCCCATATGTCAGCCGGTAGGCAAACTGATGAGGCAGGACTTTTCATTAGCAACAGTGAAGGCGATAACACTGAGTTATCTGTTGATGATGACTGTGACATGATTGAAGGGGATGGTGTGGGTAACTGGCTTGATGGCAAGACAGAGGGGGGCATCTCATGGCCTGAGTTTCGCCTTGTTGTGGAAGACTCTAAACCACGGGTTTTGCCATGAACTTCATGTGCTAAATATCAAGAATTAAAAGAAACATTATGAGTGATATCCAAATTTAAATGGTCATAAAAAATTAAATCATCACACTGCTACTGTCATAAAACTAGAGGTAATCATTGATTATGGACCCGCATTTGTCACTAATGGAAACAAAATTGAGTCCAAAGGAGTCCAGTTTCCCGGCTGAGATGCCCATGATAAAATCAGTGGGGGTACCTGATCGGCAGTCGCCCCTCATACCTTGAAAATTTGTGGCTTTGTACCATAGGAACCCCAAGATTAGGATGAGTTCTGACAAACTCAATAATGCTTTTAATAGAGGTTGGCTGCTCAACAGAGGTTTGTCATCAATTAACATATTTTTTTGGCAGAAACATCACTTTATCTCGAAACAAACATGTGACGAGAGTGTTATTAATTACTGGTCCACAATCAACCATTATTCTATCTTGGATTCCATAATTTTTTCATTATCACACTTTTAAAATAAAGCCAGACAGTGTATGGCTGTGACAATAAAAGGAGAACTCTCTTTGGGATGTCCACACTTGATACAGGAGTCTGCTTAATAGAGGTTTAATTCTTGTCCACAATTGTTTCAGGACTTTGATTACTGGCCACCTAATAGTTGGTGACCGCTTAATATGTGGCAGCTTAATGAAGGCTTGACTTTACTACGGTACTGAAGTGAATGAGCTTGTGTACAGTCAAACAAGGAGCTGTAACTCTACTCATTAAATCAAAAAATTACTTCAGATATTGAATTATATTCATGAGAAAATAAGAAAAGTCGACAAATTTATAAATCACCTTTAATTTCTAAAGAACTGTTACATTGCATCAATAAAAAAATTTGTTTCACTTTCAGTAACAGTCGCATACGTTAACAATGAATAGGAAAAATCTGAGTTCTCTAATAAAAACAATACTGATAATAATATAAATTATTATAAGCTTAAAATGTAAGTTTATGACAATGTAAAATAAATTTACCTTTTGGTTATAAGTTAAATGTGTTTCGGAAATGAGCCAAAAAATTTAACTGGTGTCACACAGAAAATCATATTTGTCAACCTTGGTTTGTATAACATTTATATTTTTTCATTCATTCACCTACAAAACGTTTTCTGACACAATCTTGGTTTCACTGTAATGATCATTTAGCTGGGGGAAAACATTTCACAGGTTGTGGTTCCTGTTTTGCTTTACAATCATGCGTGACATTGGGCATCAAACAGAAGAAAATCAATAACTCACAATAACATTTACCACAACAAACACAGACCTCCCCAAAAATCAGTTTGCTAGATCTCTCCTTTGGAAAAACATTTTGTTGACATGTATAACACAAATCGAAATCTGAGAGGATAATAAATGGTTTTGATTGGTAAAAACGTGAACTTGTTAATTAATAAACAACAAGCGGGAACGTCAAATATAGACTGTCAACGTGCCATACCATGTGCTAAATAAAACATAATAAAGTCGACCGTCTGGAAGAATTTTTATAAAAATCTATCCCGTTTATTGATTGACAATAAACTAAGTATATTTAGTTACTCACCTTTGGTGTTGGTTTCGATGTATGCTTTTATTATGTTTCCCATGACAGAAGTGTGATCGAGTTTTGAAACTGCCAATTTAGCAGCGGCAGTGGTAGCATAAGTCACTCGTCCCTTTCCAGTATGCTTTTTTGTTTGAGGGTCGTAGTAAATTTTGATGGCATCGATTCGCCCATAACGTTCGCACATTTCTTCAAGAAATTTCTTATCCACATTGTCGTTCAATCCCGAGAAATGAACTTCGCGTTGTGGAGGAATTCCTACATACCACTTGTCGACCTGTGACAGAGGGAATCACCAAACAAAAGTTAGATTATATGCTGGAAATCCCCCTTAATTGGCTGAGAAATGTACATGATTATAAATCTATAATTCGAGTATTTAATAATAATTCGATTGCAAATGCATATTATAACAATCAAAGCGTCGTTGTTGGTTTTTAAATTAAATCGAAATAAGAAATACAAACCTTAAAGTTAGGAACTGGTAAGTCTGCTTTGTTAAGACTCCATATCCTCGTTCGCCTGGAACGCGGGTCCTTTGGGACAACCGGTGGTTGCTGGAAAGGAAACGTACACGTACAATTGCCAAGTTAAAAAAAGTTTTAGTAACATTTCGGCGGAAAATTTGTCTTGTTTCATCCAAAGATTACAACCTTACCCCTTCAAAAACACCGCTGAATCTGTAGATTTTAACATGTCCTTTCTTCAAGGCGGGATCTATGAGAAGTTTGAAATCTTGTCGCTGAACTTGGCCACTTTGTTGATGCAATGATCTCGATAAACCATTCACTAACAACATGAGGAAAAAACTTTAGTATAAAACCTTCGAGAATTACTCGATGGATTCTTGAAATCTCAGGTTTTAGACTGTTTACGAACTGCAAATATGCATTATACATGCCTGGCTTCTCTCCTTGACTTAGACGTGAATGTGATTTAGTTACACTTTCGGGAGCCTTTGCATCGCCGTAGCCGAGTTTTCTTGTAAGAATTGGCGGTTCATAGGACATTTCCGGTCATCATCTAAGCCATGGAACAATCTACTGCCACCAAACCTTGCTACTTAGCCTTGAAAACTGCACTTTCTTTCGAGACCTCCGCAAAATTAATGATTACCTCCGAGATCTAGAATAACCACACGCGTGACAAATATTCCCATCAGTCATTGCGAACAGGTACTTTCCCTTTGACCTTCCGGTCCATACCACAGGACACCCAAGTCTAAGATCATAGTTAGTATCATTTTGTTTTATGCTCGATTTTGGAGTAAATTCTGGACAATATTTTATAAGTTACAGTTAAAGTTCATTAGACAAGAAACCTTTGTTCAAAACTTGGCTTAAGCCCCTATGAGCTAGAGATCCATAAATTACTGATTTTGATTAACCTGGCCCAAATAGGTTTCCATGTGCATTGAAGTGTATTTTATCCATTCATTATGTCATTATTTTTGCGTGAGAGAAAAAGAACCTTCGCAAATATAGTGATGCTTGAAATCGGTGATGTGAATGAAATTTTTGGAGCTGTATATGGGGCACTGTAAATGAGCTGGACGACCTATTTTCTTAAATAACAACATTGTGATAATAACGTTTCAGATTCCTTTCAGTTATCTGGCATCCGTAAATGATGCATATAGATAACAATTTCATTACAGTAATTGATCTAACAACCGGGCTGTGGGCTCCTGGGTTGTTAACAGGAGTCAACTTGAAACGTTCATTATGCCTGAAAGTCTGTGGCTTTTAATGAACGAAAATAATTTTATCCTCATAATAAAGGACTTCCAAATATTTGAACAGGAAGAAGTTTTCTGTGCCCCTGTGGACTCCCCTAGGGATTAAACCCCACGTGACCTGTCTCTTAGCCATTTTCTCACGTGGCACCTCCCTCATTTAGCCTCGTTCCCATAACCACACCGGCTGCCAGCGAGTCGTCCATGTTCGATTGTACCAAGCACAAATTATTGGATCTATTTGTACGTTCCCTGCCAGTTATATCGGCGGCTACTGGCTCGTTTGAGTAGGTCAGACTTTAGTTGGAGACCTTTTGAACGAACTGAGTGAACATGGCGCAGCTTTTGCCCATTCGCTTTCAAGAACACCTCCAGGTAAATAGGACAGTTAGCTTCCCTCTAGCTCTTTCGTTCTTTCAAGCGCATGTTTCCGACACGATACGTGTAGTGAACTACACCGGTCAGAAAAGCTACTGTAGTTAAATAACGACTTAAGTCGTTTTTACGGATAATTTGAGAGTGTGATTGATCGTCAGCAACTGATTGCTGTAGTTTTTAAGTCCAGAATTCGTTGAAATAGCTTTCGTGTTGTAAACCGGAGGTCAATCGAAGAGGGTCACTTGTATATTTTAAGTCTCTTTTACTTTGTACTAAAAGAGATTTTTCTTACGGCATGAATTTATTTTATCTGAAAATTGGATTTCTCTCCTTTTGAGTGTGTATTTTAGCGTGAAAGATTATCTTAATATTTTGATCATTGAACATGGGTGATGTCGGCAATTGATCTTTCAAAACGGCAAAGCTGAAGCGAAGCTTACACCGGTGACGGTTTTGAGTTCTCCTAAATAAAATATGCATCATTTGTTAGAAAAATCGTTTTCTAGAAGTATAAAAAAGAAAAGACGAGGTGGACCAATATCTGCAACTTTCAATATTTCTCTAATTTACAAGAGAGACAAGTTTAGTACGTGACGTAAACTTTACTTTGTTGCATGTCATGTTGTAGAATACAGTGCAGTTCTGAGCTGTCAAATTTAGGTCCCAGTTGGGATCAAAGAAACCTAGCTTCACTTCTACAACAATAAAAAGCAAATAATGAAGATCACTTTTTATCTCGTCATCTGCAGATCGAGATTTGCTTTGCTCCAAAATTGGTTAACTGGCTTTAAGAACAACTATTATTATATAACCATTTATGCATGATAGTTGCAGTTTCCTATATATATTTTGATAGAGTGAGAATGGCTACATACTACTTGTGGTGTAACAGTACAGTTGTTAAGCTTTGAGCTTCTAGCAATAAAAGTGCTTTGTACCCTCTTTAAGTTAGTTTTGAAATCTTGCATCCTTCATTATTGCATGTCTTGTGAAACATGCAATTTTTTTTGTTCAAAATTAGTTTGTGTCTGGAGTCACCCTTGAAGCAACCCTCATGTGTTGGTTAGGGTACTTCATGAGTCTACTTCTGCTTAAAATACTTTTTATTCATAAGATGAGAAAATAAATAATACAAGATCTGAGACTCATAACTGGTCATCTATACACTTTTGGTTGTAAGATGGACATTTTTAATTTTTAAACTTTGCAAATTGAAGCTTTTACGAGA